AGCGTCTCCAGGTGCGCCTGCCTGTCGTCGTCGTAGGCAGCCTGGTCCTTCGTTGACGAGTCCGTCGGCTCTAGGGCTTGGCGAGTGAAGTTGTCGCGGATGATTCTTGCGATGAGCTCGTCCTTTCGTCCGGAGCACCGTAGACCTCGTACTCTCAGCTCGTCGACGAGTTGCTTTTTCGTTACATTGGCCATCCTGCTGTGGTCGAGGGTCGTGAACACACTTTCGACGATGGTCGTTTCGGAGTCCCGAGACGATGCACGGCGTGGCGTTGCTCCTTCTCGTGGCGTCGTTTCCTCCTCCGCATGCAGCTCGGTCGATTCACATCCTGTCTGCTGCGCCATGTCAGCGATGTCCGAAATGAATGTAGTCAAGGCAAGGTTCAAATTTTAAGAAAAACTGTATTGTGCTAAGTTGCAGGTGAATCGGCAGTGGTTGCATGGGAAACTGGACTCGGTGCACGAGCTCGATCGGATACGTCCGACGCCACTCGCGTCTCGGCTCGCTCTGCGGTGCGTTGCTCTGCGGTCCCGGCTCGAATCTCGGCTCGTTCTCCTCTCTCTGGCGATGCGTTGCTATGCGGTCTCGCTCGAAGGCTCACTTTTTGTTTTTGAATGTTCGTTGAACCAATGGGCAACCGCGTCGAGTGGACGCGCTCAGGGCTCGGAGTCCACGTTAACGCAGTGCAGCGTTTCCCGAGCAAGCACGGAGACGCTGCCAGAGAAGGAGGCGCTGCCGGAGAATGAAAGGCTGCCGGAGAATTCAGCTGTGCGAACTCGAGTGCCGCTGACAAGCACATACAACGGCCACGTCGTTATCATATCGAAACTTGTTAACTGCAAGGTGATTACGCTGCCTTTACGTCATCAATGCCGCCATGTTGTAGAACCGGTATGCTATGAAGTTGCGTCCATGACTGTCACGTACATGCTATCTTTATAAAGTATTTTTATTCTTTCATCAGTGTTTCGTTATTTTATTAAACATTTTTGGTTGTACAAAAGTGCGTTTAACATGCATAGCCTAAGTACTCGAGCAAACTTACAAATGGAAAATAAAACTGTGTTAGTAGTACCAATATTCAGCTGCAAGAAAACAGCGTAAAACACACTTGACGACTGAGGAATCTCGTGAATTTTGTTGCAGATAAGCCGACTGTCACTGAAATCCGGGATTTTGTTTTTCTGTAAAAGTAGTATACACGCATGACTGTGATTGCGATTGCGTATGACTGCGATTGCGAGCGAAACCAACTTGTAATAGCTAGAATTTCGCTCAATCGAGAGACGATGCATGTTGCGTGAGCATAGGTCGGCGAAAAAAAATGTGGAGCTCACTCAGACTCACTCATGAAATATATTTTTGCCCATCATATTTACTCAGACTCAACTTACTTGAATCCTTTATCGCACAATTCACTGCTTCGAACTCTGTGTCAGTGCTCTTTAACACAAATATCGCGCGTAATCAGTGATCTACTTTTTGCCTTTTGGTCTCCTACCTTCAGGTATCAGTAGTAGCAATCCAGCGAAGACATTTTTATTAAAAGGAATGGTACACGCGAGATGTTTTCATCAAGAATTACCGAAAAAGTGTTTGCGAACACGGAGTGAGGGGGGGGGGGGGAAGGTAGGGAAGTTGTGCCCCCCCCCCTTTTTTTTTCATAACTCACGCCTATGATAAACAATATTATACTGGCGTATGAACACTGGGGCATAAACGTGAAGCTACGTAAAGCTGATAGTAATACAGAGTAAATGGAACCATTAGTAAGTCCTAAACACATGCGCAAAAGCATTTAAAACACTCGGGTTTCTGCGCAGAAAGCTAGCTTCCGGGCTCCTGCATCCGCCAAGTTAACAGCCTATAAAACTCTATAGTGCGTTACGTTCTTGAATATAACCGTATAGTTCAGAACCCCTCGCCAAGTACATCTTGCAGATAGACTAGAAAGAATCCAAATTAAGGCACGAAGTTTTATCTTTTCGAAATATTCCCGTAATGATAGCAGGACTGCTCTTCGAAATGTCGCCGGAATTCCTATGCTCGCCGGCAGCGGGTGGCATCGATAAAATTTCTTTACTTACTTTATAACAATCCCATAAACATAGACAGGCATGTACACTTGAAAACATCGCATCACCATTCTCGTAGAAATCGTCATGAGAAGCACCTGAGGCAATACGTAACACTCCGCGACACATTGAAATTTTAATTTTTTTCCGGTTTCCGTTGAAATATGAAACGTGTTACCCCAAGATATTATTGCCATAGATAGTGTAGAATGCTTTGTGCAAAGGGTGGAATTGAGAGTATTTTCGTACGCTATAACACATTGGCGTTTTTTATCTTTATTTTTTGCTATATTGACAACGAGGCCTACGAATTGTTTGCTGCTTTGGTTGTCATTAATAATGACTAGTTTGATATAGTGTACATTTTAACCATTCCCTACCTGATTACGCGACTTATCACACTTTGTTGTTTTAGTTATTATGACTGTCTAGTTTGACTTCTTGTGCAACGTACTTCCCCTGTATATCTCTCGACCCATTCCCTGTAATGGCCTGTGAAAGGCTGACAGTATTTGAAAAATAAAAAATAAAACAAAAATAGCATCGCCCAATTCAAAAGCTTAGCATAGAAGTGTGGCAGCTTGGACTAGTTGGTATGGCATGATGATAGTTATAGCGCGAGAACAAAATGACGACACAGAGACACGAAGTACACGAACTTAGCATAGACTTTCACTCACTTGACTGGGAAAAAGTTCACGCTTTTGCACAAGATGTTTCAACCCCAATGAGCTGCATTACTGAGTCATGATCACGTGGCTAGGATATGAAAGACGTGCGTTAAATATAAATATTCGTTGACCTAGTTTTAGCATCCATAAGACATAACACCAACGAGTGTCTCCCACAGCCTGTCAGATTGTCGCTAACTATACGCGGTACCAACCGCTTGCATGGCGTGATCATCAGGCAGCTGCGAGTATGACTTACGCTTCACCTTCCGAGTTGGTGCACCGTTGCGCATGCTTAGCCAGGTAATGAGAGCAAGGCATGCTGTGATGAGACACCCGGATTCAAGACAAGGTAATAAGAACGAGAAGGAGGAGGATATAATGTTGCATTGGCATATACTGAGGACTCCTCTTTCAGTGTTCGTTCAACAACAAGAATGCACAGAGTGGTTCAAAACAAACACCAGTAATTTATTTGCTTCAACGTTTGGTTAGCGCACTCTTATGCTACGCGAAACCGCCCTTCGACAAAACAGGGCATCAGAAGCGTTCGCTCTTCCACCGGTCGCATTCATTCGCGCAAGGAGAGAGGGTGTGTACCGCATTTGAAAACCCCGTGCGGCTCATTTCCACAATCGAAGAGTACGCACATTGATGTGAAGAGAGAAACCGATGGCAGGAGTACTGTTGTCCGTTTCATTTTTCGACAGCGTCTATAGTCTGCGTCTTTGAGCGTCGTAAATGACGTATACCTGGCGAAGTTAAAACAAAAACAAGGGTGAGTAAAGAACGCTTCGAATCTGGCCGCCGTCTTATGTGCAGTCTATATTGCCGACTTGTAATCACTGTTGCTTGAATCAACATTTACCTGTTCCACCAGGCCCAAGTTTCTAATAATTTAATAGGAAAACATCGTGAAAAGGAGGCGACAAACATTAAGCGTGACTTAGGCAGAAAACGGTCCTCACTCCATTAATCACACAATGTGATATTTGTTTACTTCGTTTATGCAAGGCTAGATCCGCCGGCTACCTACAACATCCTTAACCTTAACCTTAACCTTCGTTTGAAACATCTGACCAAGCTGTCAAACGGTCGCTTAAGGTAAAAGTAACGGGTCACTGAAATCAAACTTCACTTTTCTACTTTATTACAGCTATACCAAAAGGACTGACAACAGTAGGATGGCATGCCATAACTTCGGAGCCAGAGTTCAACGTCAGCTATATCCATGGGTGTCAGTAGGAGGGTGCAAAAGAAGCATTTGTCCCCCCACCCCTTCCTTCCCACACCACTTAATTCAAGCAGCACCACATCTCGTCCCTGTGCTTATGCGTTTCTTTCTGCCGTCCTGTCTTGTCGTGATACACAGGATGGTTTTCATGCAACGTGGGACAGGACAAAATCCAATGGCACCCATGGCTATACCTGCACGTAGTAAACGCGTGCGCTGTTCGTTCTTCCTTGACATTAATGCGCGCTTGGTTGTCACGTTGCGGCGTTCTCGAGAGAACGAGATAACAGTGAGTAACTAAATGAGCAACGTGGATCTTGCGTGCGGGTGTGGGTTCGGGGCTGTTCTAAGCAATACGTCACGCGGGACCTTTTCTGTATCTACCGAAAATGAGGAGCCACAATGAGTAGACTTCTGAAATGTCGGGGAATAAAACACTCTGGTATACGACGATGCATCGGTCAGCGCCAGACGAAAGTGAGTATAAAGAGGTTACCTAGCTTGACGGGATTCGGTGACGCGTTTGAATTGAGGCTGCCTCTACGTTGAACGCTATGCTGGTCAACAAGGACATGGGCGGATAAGAAGAAGCACACGACGCCTGAGGTTCAACTGGCGTTGTGTCTCTTATTGTTCTGTACATGTCCTTGTTCGCCAGTGTAATGTTGCACAGTACTCAACACAACTAGCCCAGACACAGACTGGACAGACTAGCCCGACTGGCAACGCTTCTATATGGCCGCGTCTGTCTAGTGGACTCGATAATCAAATGAAACATCGCGTCGCACTCTTGTTTTCTTGGGCGCCCGGCTCTGCATAAAGCTTATGCACGTGTTGAATGTGAGATTCGGGTGTCCTCACAATGCAGCCACGTGACTTCTCAGCATGAACCGGACCACCATTGCGTTCTCCGTCGGTGTGACGTCACGGTGGACCGCCGCTGCAGCGATCGGCAGGTCGCAGTCCATCATCGTTGCAGCTCTGTCGCGATGAAGTCTTGCGTGGGGGCCGCCCTCCCCGTCACTCGGCCTTGTAGCTGCACTCGGCGCAGTGCCTGGCGCCCAGCATCTTGCACGCGAGGTGCTGCATCGTGTCGTGCGTGTCTGCGGAACGCGCGAGAACACGGGCTGTCAGCGGGCGCCTGGCTCGCGGGCGCAAGCTGCATTGCCAGCTCCACTGCTTACCGGCAAGGATGCTTCGCTGCTGCATCTGCTGGTAGTGCAGGGAAAGCTCTGTGCGGAGAGAAGAAAACGAACAAGAAAACGGCGCTGTGAAAGGGAGATTGACGAGCGCCCGCATGCACTGAGCACGAAGTTACAAGAGAATCCGTACGTATTTCTCAGACAGAAAATTCGTCATGGTGCGGGGATCTAACCTGGACCAACCCCGGTCGCTCTAACTAGGTGAACAAGCACTATGCTGGTGAACAAGGACATGGACGGATAAGAAGCACACAACGCCTGGGGTACAACTGGTGTTGTCTCTTTTATTATTCTGTGCTTGTCCTTATTCGCCAGTGTAATGTTGCACAGTACTCACCCCGACAGACTAGCCCAACTGCAGTTAGAGCTAGCATTTGGCAGCTAGCTGTATGTTGACTGAGCGTACACTTGGCATGTATAAGGTAATTTTGCTGGTTCCTATCACCGAACACTTATGATCGATCGATTCTTGCGTGACGTCTAACGTTACGTGGATAGCGGAAGCTATAAAAGGATTAGAACTAGAATAAAACTGTTTCATTATCCTTGTCTGGACCTTTGAGCAGCAATATATGTTGCATCACTATAGATTTGCAGGTAATTGTTTTGAAGATACAGCTTACCGCCTTGACACAGTAGAATATATAGTACCGCAAATAGTATACCATATTTATAAACAGTCGGGATACAATGTACAGCGTATGGTTTGTTTCTCGGGAGTCCAACGACGACTAACGCGATTCCTGGCCTGAAATCGACTCTCCGTTCCTCCCTGACCAGCTGGCGAAAGCTTAAGCTTCACCCTGAGTGCTTTGACTTGCTCTGTAATTGAAATTCAGGACGACTGCGGTGGTGTTCGTTCCTCGATATAAATGCACGCGATAGAATAGGCATTTTGCCCATTCGCAGAGCGTCAAGCGACTTTAGCTTGACGTGCCGCTCTTACCTTTCAGCTTGGCTTGAACCGCAAATCTAGCCTTCCGCTCTTGGTCCAGCTCCTGGCACAGGGCGTCTACGAGAAATGAAAGGTCGGAGGATGGTGAAGAACGTGTGTTAGTTTGCCACGGCGCGGCTGACGCTACAGCTCGATGATAATAAATACTGTTCCACGTGCCGAAACCATGATATGATTAAAGGCCCAAGCCCGGAAACGCCTAAACCCCACCGAGTTCAAATGTGAGGCGTAGTTTCTCTCGGCTGCTGACCCGTAGGTCATGGGATCGAATCCCGGCTGCGGCGGCTGCATTTCCGATGGAGGCGGGAATGTTGTAGGCCCGTGTGCTCAGATTTGGGTGCATCTTAAGAAACCCCAGGTGGTCGAAATTTCCGGAGCGCTCCACTACGGCGTCTTTCATAATCATATGGTGGTATTGGGACGTTAAACTCCACATATCTATCCATCAACGTAGTTTATTCCTCGCCTTCACTTCCCTTTCTACAAGCGATATTTCCTCCTCGCCACTTATTTTTTCATAAAACTCGTGAAATGTTAGCACTAAACGCTGATAGAGTCATGTATTTGGCACTATTCAACTAGCGTTGCTATCTTTGCTTGGGCAGTCGCAAACGCGGAAGAATGAAATCAGTTTATCGCGCTCGATATAGACATACAAGACAAGGCAAAACCGGTGTGTCACTGCATGGCAAAGCATGATATACGACAATTCACCACAGATATCTCTCGTACATCGACCAATCGAGAGCTTAGTTCGTCCTGACGTCTCGTGTATAGCGTCACGAAATGCGACCGCGGGAAACGCCGGTAAAGAATAACGCGCTCATTCATGTTTTCGGAGGTTGTGTAACAGCCCTTAAGAGGCATGCATGCTGTAGCGGAGGGCTCCCGAAATTCGGACCATCCGGTATTCTTCACCGTGCAGTACCGTCCCACAAAACAATGGCTGCTAGCATTTTTGCCTTCATGGTAATAGACTAATGACCGCCGCGGCCGGAATCAAACCTTTAACCTGAGCAGCCGAACACCCCTTTATGCCACGGCGACGGACGGTTGAACTCTAGAGAGCTTAGTATTATGTTTATTAGCATTTATTATGGCCGACAGGGAAAGAAGAGAAAAGTTTGCATTCGTTTGCTAACCGGCACTCGTGCAGTCCAAACTATAGATCGAGAGTTCTTCACTCACCTCGCACGACTTGCAACTGCTTTGCGAGTTCTTCGCGGTACGCGACCTCTTTCTGCACTTGTTCCTCAAAGGTTTCTGCGGGGAGAATAAGCACGTGCATCGAATTTGTTGGCAACAATCTTCCTGTTTTTTTTTTCCGATCTTCACCAATACAGAGCCGTATAGCGAGTAGTGTGGGAGTTATACACACGCCACCACCTTGTTGCCTTGTTTGCAGAGATGTTCTACTAGCTAGCTGGCGGTTCGACATTATGCGCAGTTTGCAACTATGGCACTGCGTACATTACGTCACTGCGTTACATGAGTTTTTCCCAATCGATGGATTTTCATAACTATCGCTTTCAGAGTTAAGCCAGAGAGACTAATGTTCGTTGCGTAATTGTATTGTTATTTCGCACACTGCGACGTACGAGGGCTAGTGTTGAAACCTCTGAAAGTGGCCAAGAAGACTTCTGCAGTTTCCTTTTCTTCTTAGTAAAAAAAAAATTGAGGGCACAGTATCTCACAGGGCACTTTGATATTTTGGGCCAGATTTGTGACTAACGTCATCCAACGTGACTTAATTAACCTCCAATCTAAGGCTTACATCACGTGTCTGCTGCGACCCCTCAGCCCCCTCTATATTATTATTATTATTATTATTATTATTATTATTATTATTATTATTATTATTATTATTATTATTATTATTTTGTCAGGATTACTACCTCTCTTGTTTTTAATACACTAGACATCATGACATGAAATGTCTTGTACTTTACGCTAAATAAGCAGCCTTAGTAAATAGTTGTGTTGATGGCAATCATTACAAATTTGAGTCGTCAATCTTATCAACCGTGCTACAGTAGGACTCATAATGAAAGACAACTTGATTGCTCAATATAACGAGCAACGTTGAGTTGGTTCCGTCCACGTATGCGCAATACCAAATTTAATGTAACGAACTCAAGTTAATCAAAGGTGGTGTTTGCATTAAAATGTCGTGCCGGGCGACTTGAAATATTTCGCCATCCAGCGCTCAGTCAATCACGTGTACTGGGAACTTGAAATGCTCTGTGCTTACGGGTTCTTGCAGTCTCGTCGTAAGCGGCCAAATAGCTCGAAATCGCGATACCGCATCACCGTTTGATTCAACGTTTGATAACTGAAAAAACCAGTCCATTGTTAATTGTTGTAGTGTTTTTTGCGTCGTGCGTTAATTTCTCTCAATAGTATCCGACGTCGCATGCGCTGAAGTGTCAGCCGAGGGAACGCAATCAATCCGCGAGGACGCCATTTGCAGCGTTCTATATAGAGCTGCCGGTAGTCGACGTATACGTTTCTGTGCCAACTGCTCTCTCTATGCAGTGGCCGTGCTCAACCCCGAGTGATGCAAAACGGGACCTGGCGCAACCGCGTTGTGGTCCCGCGTGCGCCACGGTGAAACGAAGAAAACACTCCGGCTAATGAGCGCCGCGTCAGAAGTGCAGCGCGGTTGTCGCGTGTTTAACAGTGTGCGGCACGCGAGCTGAATAACGGACCGACAGTTCCTCTTTTTTTTTTTTTTTGCGCTCGTGTGTTCTGACGACGCGCCAAAAACCCCCTTCGCGCACACAATGCGTGTATATACGTTGCCTCTGTGTGTGCAGAGCGTGTGGAGCCGATAGCAAATGCACCTACACAGAGGCGAACACCCTTCGGCGTCGACGGCCGGCAACCTTCGGTTTGGTGCTCTTTAGTTGCCGCCACCAGATGGGGGTACCAGCACGCCCACCTTATAACGTATGCGCAGAGGCTCCGAGAGACGTTGCTGCGATTAACTGCAGTTCGTTGAATAGCTTGGATAGATAGACCGCGGCAGGCATGCCGCTACATGCGACGCAGCGTGGTGGGCACAACTTTCACGGTTCGCCGACCTATACGTTCTCTTTATTATACTCCCGGTCGTTCTTCTTTGCATTACCTCCGAGTTTGCGCAACTTGCCCATCTTTTTTTTGTTGCTTTTGCTTGACTTGGTTCCTTTTGCCGGTAAGCAATGACGGCTCAGGTTAGCTTGCTTTGTTTAAATTAAAACAGTGGAACTGTCCCTAGGATGTAAAAAATAGATATATGTGTGGACATCATACTTCTTTCTTTCTTTCTTTCTTTTTTCTTTCTTTCTTTATTTATTTATTTATTTATTTATTTATTTATTTCTTTATTTATTTATTTCTTTCTTTCTTTTTCTTTCTTTCTTTCTTTTTCTCTCTCTCTCTCTCTCTTTCTTTCTTTCTTTCTATGCCAGTTTTCTCTCAATGTCTAAAAATAATAAAACATGTGACATAAAGTTCTAAACAAACATAAATATGGGTAGAAAAGACGAATTACCCCGCATGAGGCGGAACTCTCTTTCCACTTTTTTCCTGGCTTGTGCTTCTCTAAGCAGGACGTCCCGCAGTTCATCTGCAAAAAAAGAAGAGGTAGTGAGAGATAAAAATGAGGGACAAGGTTATTAATTCAATCACTGCTCTCTCGTTCTGCTTATTAATTATTAGGCTTCATTATTAGCATCTGCACACTCATTTTCCAACAATTGTTTGTTTGATGCAAGGTGCATGTTGTATGTATTTCGTATACTTGTTGCCCTTTTTATACAACTGTCTTCACTCAAGTCATTTTGCTTTGCAATATTACGCTGATGTAGATTTAACTACATAAATGCGAAAGAAATGAAGAATGTCTGTGACGGGGTGGACTTGACACTTTCAATCATAAGCGTAAATATATCACGCGTGATACCAGAGAAATGAAATACAACTAAGCATAACTTTTACACTTCTCTGTTATCGATAAAATTTAATACGCGGGACTTCAAAGCACCAAGCAGATTCAATCAATCGAACAAATATCAATGAAACCAGTGAATAAAAAAACGACCGTTTTGTAGACATCAAGATCACAATACTCGCGCAGAATACTCAATAAATTTACATGCGGTAGTTTGAGACAGCTTGTTTTCGCCACTATACGGTGACGAAGTTGAAATTCCGATGCATTTTTTAAACTAAAAGAGTGGTAGTGGTGTCGCAGGTAAAACAGCCGATGGAGGCGGTACCACTTACCTTTGCTAAGTGTGAATATACTCGAAGGATCCAAAGGGTGGTCGAAGGTTTGCGCTTCTGAAACGATAGGCGGAACAATTTATTAGATTTTAGGCCGGCAGATAAAAAACTTTCGTAAGTTTATACTCCTATATATTGACTGCAATAAGAAAATCATGTTGTTAAAACGTTCACGTAGAGTTACGAAGGCCGTACAGCGTGCACATATTTCGTTTCAGCAGTTCATACATACAAGAAGGTTTTAAAAAAAAAATGTTGGACTGGAATCTCTCGTATCCGACAAAAGTGAAGCCAACGCTTTCCCGCACTCGGGAATAAAGCTGTTTCGCTTTGTTGATGTAAACGCAACGTTATTTCTAAAATAAGAGAATCCCGGCAGAAGTGACACACCGCGATGAATATACTGATAACACAACCTCCAATAACATTTGCCAGGACATATCTTGAGGTTTTTAACTCAAAACAGTAACACGGTGGTGCAGATTGAGAAGTATCTGTCCGGAAATTTTTGCTTTTTAAACGCGTGAAGCGTGGAAAAATAAACGCTCTTTTTTTTTTGCATAAGGCTAATTAGCGTGCCCCTACATGGTCGCCATCACTAAGTGAGTACGGCTTCGTTCTTGAGGCATAATTTCCACTCCAGCAATTCTTTATAAACCATTGTACTTACATAAACCGCGTTTTTTGGAGCTCGCCCTGTAGACTAGGTGTCTGAATTATAGATGAAGAGAAATGTTATATTGTCGACAGATTCTTGCTTCAAGGTATCTCGTTCTTCAAGTATCTCGTTCTAATCATAGAGAGATGAGTTCTTTAGTTATAAAAAGTTTGTCACTAAGCTTCAAACTTCGGGCATGCTATGAAGTACCTCTCCCTGGAGGAGTAATTGACTCATATGCCACCATCAATTGCGCAGTAAGAGGAAACTCATCGTGACCTATAAACAACTAGAAAGTGTTAAAAGTGGCTAATTTGACATTAGATAAAAAAGAAAGAAAGGTGATAATGTTGTTCATTACACCAAAATACAGTCAGCGTGGAAAGCTTAGAAAAAAAAAGAGACACATTGAAAAAGTTCAATACTCCAGCGGCTTCAGCAGTCAGCCTTGAATGTATACATGTCCGGCATGTGCTTAAACGCGTTGCTGCACAGTGCTACCAAATAGTCACAAATTTCTGGAAATTCAATGTTTTATGAGGCTTAGTTGCCTCTAAACTTTTGACGCCAACTGCACGTACCAACACATTATTTCGTGCTGCTCGAACAGCGACATTTTTTTAGGGGCGAAGCACCTTAACGCGTCTGCCGTAGTTGCCTGTCGTTGCAACCTGTAGTACGCGAAGTGTTCACTAGATGGCGGTCGCATCGTTCGAAATGTTTCGACTGACAAACAGACGGACGGATGGATAGACGGATGAATGGACGCTTCGCCCCACTCATTAACATTCACTCCGTAGATGTGCCGTGATTTCTTTAAACTGTGTTTTCCGCAAGTCACACGCTATATAGTTGACAAGCTCCTACGCTCCAGATGTTCAAGAATTCGCCGTGGCCGGGTATCGAAACACTGAGCTCGTGGTGTGCGCTCCACGAGAGCTTTGGAACAAGCGTTGAATTATGAAGGAGAAATGTGCGTCTGTACGCTCCTTATTGGCATTCTTGTTACATTTTAGATTAAACGGAGAGGGCATTTGACACAGTACATCTCACATCTCTGCATTTCAAGCACTGCGTCGAATACCTAGCCATTCGCTAAGATAGATCCCTTCCCCCCACCCCACTTTATGGAGAATTCTACGCTCGCCTATAAATAAACGAGTTGCTATAGAGCTTGGTTAATTCTGCACAATCTCATAATTACTTAATGGCGCTGGCTGAATGGGGCATTCATAGCTACACGTCTACTGACTCTCAAAATCGACAGATTGTAAGCCTCGGAACATCGCGCATATTGCTCTCGTGGTCGCGCACGTGCAGCTAAAGAACACCCGCCACTTGACAAACGGGCTCCACACGAACCCGAATATGAAGACGCCTCGAGGGCGTCTCGCTTCCGGCACTCTTCCTTGATCAGTTGCACCACGGACGTCACGGCGTTCTCTGCGCACAGAAAGACAGCATGCGGGAGCAGGACGATGAGTGCGTACGATACCGATCAGTACGATACCGATCACAGAAAGTACGATACCGAACACAGAAAGTACGATACCGATCACAGAAAGTACGATACCGATCACAGAAAGTGCGATACCGATCAAGACAGTACGATACCGATCAAGACAGTACGATACCGATCAGTATAAGTGAGCGGCCCCAGAGTGTGCATGCCTTTCTTCCCCTACTGAGGAGGTGGGCTAGAGCTTGTACCGATGTGAAATTGCAGTGCGTATTTTCTTTTTCTTTTTTAGAAACATGTCTTTTTTGTGCAATATTGTTTTTTATAGCACGAGAGCAAATTGTCCTCACAGGTGAATGCAAAAACGTCACCTTGCACTGTGAATGACCCCCCCCCCCCCCAACTCTTGTTTGTGCATATAGTCTACTGTTTATATAAGTTTACTCATCTCGATGTTCATGAATGTTCTGTCCTTGCACAATTTTTGCAGTGTACATCCCTGCATATATACACATAACTTATTTTCGCTGTATATAACAGCTTGCACTGTACATACACATGGTCATCATTGTCCATCTTTCTGTGTGCTCATAAGCTACGTAAGGCATATCTGGAAATAAAATTTTCTTAAACCACGGACGGCGCAGACCACCCTCAAGATGATGAATAAAAAGCTTCATTGTTAACGTTGGCCACATTTCACAAATCAAAGGGTGCTAGTTCGGCCACATCAATCCTCTGTTGTTTTGGTTGGGAGCTGGACTTCATACGAACCACCCCGAAGTCAAAATACTGTTACCACCTTTTCTTTGGCGACGTAAGAGGGGGAGGAAATCCCTCGTCGTGGTGGTCTAGTGGCTAAGCTACTCGGCTGCTCACCCGCAGGTCGTGGGATCGAATCCCGGCTGCGGCGGCTGCATTTTCGGTGGAGGTGAAAATGCTGTAGGCCCGTGTGTTCAGATTTGGGCGCACGTTAAGGAACCCCAGGTGGTCGAAATTTCTGGAGCCTTCCATTACGGCGTCTCTCATAATCATATAATAGCTTCGGGACGTTAAACCCCACATATCAATCAATCAATCGAGGGGGAGGAAATAGGGCCTTTTAGTAAGAAGTCAGAACGTGAGAAAGTTTTCAACAACTGACTTCGGTTCTAATAAATATTATTGATTGATTAATTCATTAGCGCATACTGCAGTTCTGATGAGTTATTGTACAAATGTGTGGATACATAAAACTACCGAAGAACAGAGGCAACATGAATATGAAGAAACAAGATGAAATAAAAGCTCTTACTATTCAACCGTTCCTAAGAATAGGTTACAAGGCAGATCGCTGAAAGCAGAACATGCTTCAGATGCCCATATATCCTTATCCGTTTAGGCGTCGAGCGCTCACGAGCTACTCGCAACGATTCTTCCAGCAGAGCACACTGAATCTGGGGAGGGGGTCGATATAGCAGGGTTACTTTATAAGTTAAGTGAAATCTGAGTTATTTACTTCAAAATCTCTAGTAGGTCGATTTATTCACGTAATCGATGTTCTTTCTAGTATAGCACTGTCGTAGCCGGTACTGCGTTTTTTTTTTGTCCGTGTTTGCGAAGCGATCGCTTGATTGGTTAGTTGGTATGACACCATGCTCGATGTAGTCCAATAGACACTCGTATAACGGAAGGGGACAGGGCAGGGTGCTCGATAGGACGTACGCGTTGATCTGTTGATCTGAACACAACCTTGCTTAAAATGTACTCGTGGGCTAGTCGGTTAGTCATATTTACGAAAAACGGCAGCGCACACCGGGCTAAGACACGAACACGAAAAGGACGATGCAGGCTCCGAACTGCAACTTCAACAGCGCTTGGGTGGTCCCTTTCGCGTTTCGTCTCTGTGTCTTAACCGGGTGTGCCCTGCCGCTTATCGTAAACACGAACATAACCATTTTTCTCTCTTTTTGTCACCTTCTCCACTCTAAGAAAACTGTCAGATGAATTCATAAAGAACGAACGATCGCATCGTTACACTGTGACAGTGACGTTACAATAAAGGCGCGTGACCTGGCCCGTTCTTTACAGCTCCTTCTCACGATCACCGTTGCTGCATTCATTGGCGATCCCATAATTCTACGACTAAAACTCCTTCTATAACCATCTCGGAATGACATTAGTAGTAAAGCAAAGAGAGGGGCTGTTTGGTGCACATTCATGATCACGTTGCGTTGATTCTTATACGCCGACTATCTTACCGAAAACGGAAGTGTGGAGGCAAGGGTAACGTAATCGCACGTCACGTGACAACGTTATAGCCAAAACCATGGCGTTCGCTTGCACCCATTGTGTGCAGGAAGCTCGACTTCTACTCTGAATCTGACAGAAAAAGTGCTTGTCTAATTATTTGTTTAGTGGAACATGTAGTGACACGTATGTAGTGACACGTAGTGGAACATGTAGCGGGCTAGCCTCTATTCCCACAAACAATAATGGAATGACACTCTAGTTTCACTTCCAAGCACTTTCGGTCCAACACTTCCGGCTTTTTAAATATTCAGAAAAAAAAGTCTTGTAAAAAAATAAAACTGGTACGAAAGCGATACTTCCGGTTTGAGATAAAAAGGCGTTGGAGCATACATTTACTTAGAATAAGGGTCAGGTAACTGTTGTCGCGCGTGGTAGATCCGATCTAAATCACGGGCATCTTTCCACGTGGCCTCCGAGATCCACATCGGCAGTACGACGAAACACTGAGTTAATCCAATAAATACACCAGGGCACACGATGGACGAAATGCGAGTACCACTACCAGACACCTGAGCCAAGTAGTAAATTTTTTTAAGATAGAAGATTCTCAGGTTTCTCTCTCCGCTTTTTTTTTCTTTTTCCTTCTTTTTCTTTCTTTGTTTTTCTCTTATATTAGCACTCGCAGAGGCAGACACGCTGGCTGTTCACAGTGGGAAGCCGAATTGTTGGGAGCTTTAGAAGCTGGCACACGTACGGGTGTTTTAATGTGTCACTTATATATAAGACGAATGCTCTACAAGTCTCATCAAACGGGAAATTTGGCCGTTGGTGGTGACCGTCCCGTGGTGTCGGGTACGGGCAGTGCGAAAAACAATCACGCGATGGCGCCACCATATGACGTCATTCCGACGTCACATATGGTAAATGCTTGTGACGTCACAAATTATAGTGTGACGTCATGAAACATTACGCCACAAGATGCTGTTGATGACACGCTACGTGTGTTCCAGCATGTCATTTACGCAGATGTTTGGTTAGATTGTAGGGTAACACTCGGTGCAGCGCAATTATGACATTGACAAGCATGCAAGAAGTGCGAAAAACACGCAAGAATTCTCACCGGGCTCTGCGTCGCGCTTGTTCGTCTCTTCGTCCTGTAAATGAAACAGGCATGTATTTTGAAGTTGGTTGATCTGCGCTGCATTGTTCAACTTCACTTCGCTTCTCTTTATTACCTTGAAGACTCCGCAGAGGGGGTATTACATAAGGGGTGGGTTAACAAATGGAGGTTACAGAGAGTGAACTCACTACCATAGATTAATCAATTATACGTAATTAAACAGCAATGCTGTTTAAGCGCCGTAATATGCGCGCCATATCACGATTCATAAATGGGCACGTGCCACAGGATTTGGATTAGCCCCACAAACCCCACCGCTATAGGCCAACACTAAGAAACGGGAATGGCAATGGCAGCTGCGGGAAATTATCATCATCGTAAACGAGCATCTGTCACAGTGATTGGATAACTGTTGAGGTGTCGCACGCTGATGCAGACAGTTACGGGGCTCATTTTTCTCTTCTTTTCCCTCTTATAACCACAATCTCACAATCTCACTACTCACCACAGGTCGACAACAGTCAGCCTAAGAACAACACAAAATATTTTTGTCGTACAAAAAGGTATATTATTCTCTTTTCCTCGTTTTTATTTTTCCAAGCTATCGTATTCTTGGCCAATCCCATATGGGTGTGTGTGAGCCAGAAGTCAACACCTGCTACGTAATGGTAAAGGCGATGGTAGCTGCGAGAAGACATCGAAGTGATGGAAGCTCCACGCCAACAACGACGTAGATCTATGAGAGGTACGGACGCTTAGTTACAGCGCGAGTTACTGTCTCATGAAGTCTTGACATCAGTATCTCTTTTGGGACTGTGGTTTGACTCGAACATTTGTGCGCTGAGAATTAACCTAGAGACCACCTATCCTAAGATATACCTAAAGCTTAGCGACGACCTCGAAACAACCCTCTTCACCTTGCCAAGGCCCAAAAGCGAACTAGAAGCTTTTGTAATTTTGCGTTTCACATTATCAATAAAATGAATCTGTATTTAAAGCCAGATGACTGCAAGCAAAGTCAAGCCGTGCGGCTGCTTTCTTTCGATCCGACCGCCTTGTCCTCTTTCAACTCCGGCCATTGTACAGCACGCTTTGTTCAACGTTTCTCAAGAAAATAATTCCTGTCGCTTCTTTTGGTCTCTCGAAACAGCCGAACTATGGTTAGAAAATTACGTTGTGGCATAAGGAAATATTTTCAAAGTTTCAACATAATTTTTTATGGCAAATGTTGCTTGACACTGCCTACCTAACACGGCCTTGTGAATAAGTCTATGTTACCCAATGCTGCGTTCGCATGCCTTCTGAAGTGAATGCTGCAAATAACAATAATACATTGGAATGCAGCACATCCAATGATGTCTCAATATATATACGTTACTGTGCACAGCTCCGAAAAAAAAAAACGTCTTATCGCAGCATTATATTGTTTGTTCGATTTTTACGTGATTATACCATCGCCTCTCTGAGTACACAAAAGTGATTTTGACGCACGCTGCCTTAGATTGAACTGCACTCGCTCGAAGGCGTCAAATGAGGGCTCTGCCATTGAAGAGAAAAAGCCAGGACACAGAGTAAAAGAAGAAAAAAAAGCTGAAAAAAATAAAATAAGTGAACCAGAACAGATTTTAGTTGGCGAAACTTTGAGGGTACGCGTATGAATAGGGAGGTGTGTGTGTGTGTGTTTAATAGGTATGCGTAGGTGTCTAACTAAAGGAAAGCAAAGAGAGAGAGAGAGAGGATTACCCGTAGGCAGCATTGGGCGCCGTCGATGCGTGATTCAAATTGCTTACTGTGCACAAGAGACTTGCACCGCGGTGCGGCAATATTTAAATGCGCTCGGGAAATTCGGCAAAGAAAAGCGTCCACAGTGACAGAAAAAAAATTACTTTGAGAGCGCGTTCGCTACGATGTTCTGAAACCACCTCGGTGCGAGTTGACTTGTTTTTTTTCGTTTTCTTTTAGCTTTTCGCGTTCCGTCATGCTCGAACATCTTTCTTTGCGCTTCCGTCCATCCCGCTGTCTTTAAGACGAGTGTATTGAAAATACAAGTTTGCGAATATTAGTTTAGATGGAGCGCAGATACATGCGTGCTACGGTTCCTACAGCCATAGTCTCTTTTTAATACTAGGCGTGATGCCAACCTTCTTTGCTGGCCCACTGGCTGTCTTTAGGACGTGTACATTAGGTTCAGCAGAATTATTTTAGACTCAGTTCGAATGTACACATTGGTTCAGACATTGCCCTGATCTTCCATAAGAGAAAAAAAAGTGGTTGTTAGTTAAATTCAAGAACGTGAGTAAAAGAGCGAGTTAAAACAAAAGAAAAAAAAAAACTCGTGCAATGTACCGGGAGCATTCCAGACTTGTGTGTAGCTAGAATTACGTGTGAATATTTGTGAAAGCATATTTGCTGAGAAGAAACCTAAGGCTGGGAGATGACAAAAAGTATAGCGATGAAAAAAAAATGTTAATGCATATTTTACGGATCGTAGTCGAGGAACTAACAAAAGTGGGATTCAAAGTGTGGCGGTAACAAAATCTGAACTGAAGCGAGTGTAAAGTCTAGTATCAAGCTTCTGCGTACGTTCACACTCGCGTTCCCGTCAACAGGCGTGCGAGCTGACTATCATTATTTTTCGTACCCCGCTGTCGCTTATCTTTCCAGCGAAAGCAAGGCGAATAGGATAGGGCTTAGTCGTTATCGTTTCAATTCTATTTTTCGTAATATAGCTTGCTCTCATTCAGCTTAGTGCAGATCGGGATTATTTGGACAGCATTAACGTAATCGGACGTATCTCAGTCGAAAGTACAGGACAGAAGGACTTATCTCAGTCGAACACAAAAGTCCTGGCTGGGTTCTCAAGAACGCAACGCTGCACGCTAAAAGTTTTTATAGGAAAAAATTTCAGCCAGTAACAATGTGGGACATAGGGAGGCCAGATGCCGAATGGGAAAGCGCACTTACCAAAGAGAAGTTTGGTGAATTCGGACCCTGCACCGGTTTACCTGTGCTTGAAACAGTAGCTTCTCCGCATAAATTATGTTAGTGTGGCAAAGCACGCTTTACAAGTTCCGAGTGCGCGTTTTGTATGGCAATAATGCTTTGCCGTAAAGATTTCCTTTCGTCCAGATCAGGAGTATAAAACACATAGACCGCGGGCCGCATGCTTCTCGCTGACATCTTGAATGTAGCCAGCACCTGAGTCCTCGTCCGGCGTTTATTGTATGACTTTGTGACTGTTCGTGACATTACTAAATGGTGCCCGCAGTCTTTTCCCGTATACCGTGGATAATACGGGTTGTGTGGGTAGGGTATATACAGGCAAGACTGATCTTAAGCATTCGTTTCATGAGGCACCCATGCGCTAACCTTGTGTTGAAACAGAACAGCGGTACAAAAGTTTATATCTCAGGATGAATGTCCACATTTCAGTAATCGTGTAGATCAACATCGATAAGGCCGTTTAAAAAATGACTCATGTATCAAATGTGGGAAAAGCGTTAAGCGTTTTTTTTTTCAAATGGCAACGTCAGCTGACTTTGTGTACCCCCCCCCCCCCCAGTCCTCTGCTTCCAACTCATTCACTGTGCCGCCCTTTTTGCGGCATACGTCTGGTGGCTGCGGCGTGGCAAGTGATGCGAGTTTGAGACCTCTGGTCTAGACACTGGGTTGACCAGTGCGTGGTGATTCCACCCCTGATAAGAACGTGTGATGTGCTCATTACCTTAAGACTTACCTCGGCTTTGCTCCGTGTATTAAGCCATAATAGCGAAAGTTGGGCTAGTTGGTGGTTCATTCTCGGGAAGTAGAAACAGCGCAAAATATACACAAGGACAGAGAAAGAGACGACATCGCGCTGAACTCGCGACAAAACTTAATCTAAACTTATTATCTTACACAGCATAATACACGATGTAAAGACGGCAGGAGGGCTCCTCTTCCTGTTTTACGCTCGCTTGTGCCATGTCTTTTGGGACTGATGGCATTACAATGTGCACGAATCAAGGATCGCAGCTTCATAATAAGTCGCCATTTGGAACGCTTACGCGGCATTTTTCGTGAATATTCTGTCTGTGGAACGGTTAAGTCTAGAGTAATGCAGCGAACCGGGCTTGCTTGAACGCACTCACGATGGTCAGTGCACACACCACACGAACCACAAGGAATACATCATTCTCTTTCGTGTACTTTATCTATTTCTTGTCCCGTGTGCGCCGACCGTCGTGAGGACGAAGTCCGCCGCAAGCTGTCAGGTACGGAATGCATCGTTCGCGACTGCACCGCACGTGGTGGCCCGTACAAGTGCGACCAAATGGCGCAAATGAAGGAGGGCGCGCTCTCCAGCGAGGTCTTCTTTTGTCCTCGGCGCAGCGAAGCGTGTCGTATGACTCCCTCGCAGGGGCATCGCGGTAATCACTGGGCCGCTCCGTAGGGTGATCAAGCCGAGGGCGCAGCGGTGCACTGGGCGCTATACATTCTTGACGAGCGGGGAGCCCGAAAGCAAGGCGAATAGGATAGGGCTTAGTCGTTATCGTTTCAATTCTATTTTTCGTAATATAGCTTGCTCTCATTCAGCTTAGTGCAGATCGGGATTATTGGACAGCATTAACGTAATCGGACGTATCTCAGTCGAAAGTACAGGACAGAAGGACTTATCTCAGTCGAACACAAAAGTCCTGGCTGGGTTCTCAAGAACGCTGCACGCTAAAAGTTTTTATAGGAAAAAATTTCAGCCAGTAACAATGTGGGACATAGGGAGGCCGCATGCCGAATGGGAAAGCGCACTTACCAAAGAGATGTTTGGTGAATTCGGACCCTGCACCGGTTTACCTGTGCTTGAAACAGTAGCTTCTCCGCATAAATTATGTTAGTGTGGCAAAGCACGCTTTTACAAGTTCCGATGTGCGCGTTTTGTATGGCAATAATGCTTTGCCGTAAAGATTTCCTTTCGTCCAGATCAGGAGTATAAAACACATAGACCGCGGGCCGCATGCTTCTCGCTGACATCTTGAATGTAGCCAGCACCTGAGTCCT